ACAAAGCTTAATATTTTTAAATTCTTCAGATATAAAGAATTATGTTCAATTAAACAAACAAATTTGTATTTTAGTGCTTTTGTTAATAATTTTGAAGGGGAACTTGCTAGGGAGAAATTATATTATATCTATATAGTAATTGGTTTTAATTAATTTAATTTTACGAAATTTTAGAATAATGTCGATCGATTCGAAAAAAAACCTCATAAATTAGTTAATCCTAAAACTATAGATTTTGAATTTCCATTGAATGAACGACTTGAAGAGAAGGTCAATTTAAAAAGCTATAAAATTCAAAATTTCCTTCCTTTTTAGTGGAAAAATGGACTAGAAACCCCAATTCCTTTGTATTTGCCTAATCAAGATTTAGATAGCAACATTGTTGATTGCTTGTCTAAAAGTTAAATTTTGTTTAATAAAATTTTTGAGGCAATCTCAGTTTGCGAGTTTAAAAAGATTTTATGTAACCTTAAAAATACCGTCTCATATAAATTTCCTTAACCTCTAATATACAAAAGGGGAATGCAAACATTGGCTGTAGTTTAGTATACCGGAGTCTTAGTTTCGATACAAAACCCATACCATTGTTTCGTCTCGGCGAGCTGAGTCGAACGGCCGAAGATGCCTGTGGACCGAAATATAGGTCCCCAAAAATCGAAAACCCATAGGGGGAGTAAGCACAAGTAGCACAAATAAGCACGTCGCGCGAAGCGCGGCGTTTTGCGGTTTTCTGTAAATAAATTTTGTTCGGACTAAAGCGTTTCTATTCTCTTTTAATTCAAAATTTTTAAGTTTGCGTCAGCAAATCCCATCCTATTCTACTACAACTTCCATCAATTATCAAAAGCAAAGAGGACTTAAAAATTGTTTATTATTATTTAAATAAATTATTTAATTGTTCATTTAACTATTGCTACTTTGAAAACTTTATATTCAATCCAGAATTAATTCAATTATTATTTGGAAGAGTTCCCAAACAAATTTATGTTCGAGAATGCGAACTATTTATTAATGACTACAATATTGAAAATATATTTAAATTTACTTTAAATAATTTAATTACCGAAACTCTTTATATATTTTTTCCTTTATCTAAAGAAATTATAGAGAAATCTAAAGATGATTTATTTAAATTTTTGATAAATGGAGGAGACAATTTTGCAGTAGTTGAGTTGATATTTAATAATTCTCCAGGAATTGTGGATGATATTACTATAAATGTACAGATACTTTATAATCGTCTTATCGAAGTTGATAAATAAAAAATTAAAAAAAAATTCAAATTTAAGTATATAGCAACATCTAGAGATTATTCAAAAATGTTGCCTTTTATTCTTTTTAAATTCTCCAATTCCACAAGTCTTAAATTAAGTGAACGGGCTGAAAAAGTTGAAATTAAATTTGTCTCCAAGACATGAAGAAAATTTAAAATTTTTTGATAAACAAGTATACAGATAATATTTTAAAAATATTATTTTTAATTTAATTGATAAAAATATTTAAACTTAATTAATAGGGTTGTGCCAAACCGTTTAATTTTGAAAAAACCGTATACCGTTTATGCCGTTTATCTGAGACCCGTATACCGTTTCGTTTAATTTTAAAAACCCGTTCAAACGACCGTTTACCGTTTATTTTTAAAATTTTTTAAAAACTATTCATAATTCAAAAAAATCAATGAAAAGTCATTAATTATCATCATTCCGCTTTATAAAAATTATAATTCAACTATAAATTCATCATATCGATGGATTTAGAGGGATAAGGAAGGCCTAAAGAGATGCCTGGGGCCTATTCCACAAAGCAACATTGACATCAAATGTCGATGTCCAAATTTCAATCGCGATTGCGACATTGACATAGGATTGTGTTACACTAAACGACAACTAAATTTGTGACATTTCTAATGACATTGACATCAATTGTCGACATTGACACAAGATTGTGTTCCATTAAAGAAATCAGTCTATGTCATTGTCAAAATATCGATGTCATCTTTAAAATATTTGTTTCTTTAAATTTTGTTTATTTATTATTTTCTTTTAAATAATTTTCTTTATTTTTAGAGAAGTTTTTTTTTAAAAACGGATGAAAGCAGTAAAATTGTTTTTTGAAAGCTGTTTACGAACGAAAAGAGGACTTCTTTGGGCAATTCTCAATACCCTCCACCGATACCCTCTAAATTCACATAATCCCATAAAATTTTGATCCCACGATATCGCACCCAAATCTGATATTTAGTTTAATTCCGCCAAATTTCTTTATATCCCTGAAACCCACATTAGCTCCTGCAAATCCTACGATATACCAAAGTTCCCTTTTTCAGTACAAAATTTTTGGAATTTAGGAAGCAAAAAATTTTATTAAAAAGTTAATGGTAATATTCATAAAATACTAAAAAAGTAAATTTATCAAAAATTTTTATCAAAATTTCACATATTTCCCAGTAGCGACATAGCGTTCGTGCTGTGTCGCCAAAATCGCGACATTTCGATTGCTAGTGTCGATTGACACTAGATTTTAAAATCTTTGTGAAACACAATCGCGACATTTCGCTGTCAATGTCGCTAAAAGTAGATGTCAATGTCGATGTCACAAAATAATTTTAATGTCGCTTTGTGGAACACAATCGCAATCGGAATGTCAAGCGATTGACAAATGTCGCGACATTTGATGTCAATGTCGCTTTGTGGAATAGGCCCCTGGTATATATATAAACAGAATTCCACCTAAAGTTTTCAAAACAAGCGAAAACTTTTTTGCATTGTTTGCATTAGACAAAATTGCATTAGAGATCCAACAAATCAAATAAAATTTCCGCTTCCGTTTCTTACATTCAATTCTTTTCCATTATTTCGACTGTATGACAAAAATTCCCTCCTTCTTTATTTTTTTTAGTGCAAAATTCAAATCTCACTTTTGGATTGTAAATATTGGCAATTTGGTACTTTGTATGTTTTTCCGTCTCTACTTGCTTAATTTCAACATTTTCTGCTCTTTCATTCAATTTAAAATCAGGAAAATACAAAGACAAAAGAACAATTTTAGGCACGATATTTGAACAGTCTTTCGATGTTATTATATACTAGAATTTAAATTTATTTATAAGTTCGTATTTATAAACGGCTTACTTCTAAAATAAGATCATGAAGCCTTGCTATCTCGAAACCCTCAACAATAATTTCTGGCATTTTATTGCCTTTATTTATTATAATATTGAATAAAATATTTATATGGTGATCTGTAATGTCAAAAACATATTTTAAATTGATGTACAAATATTCAGAATTTGATAGATAATTTAAATAAAATTCCAAAATATTCTCAATTGATATTTTGCCAGCATGTAGAGATACATTTTTAATATTAAATTGAGCTCGAATTGATTTGTCATTATCAAACAATATATTGATCATTTCTGGATTAAATACACTGCTATAGAAATCAGCACAATCAAAATCACATTTAAATAGTCGTTCTAACCAGCAACGAATAATAATCATTTGTTTAAGGTTCTTTGGGTAGTGTGGCAATTTCAAAATGTAATAAGGGGAATCTTCGTCATCTAAATGGAAATAAATATAAAAAATTATTTGGGCCAATAATTGTGTATAAATTGACTAAGATTAATTATTGCATTATAATTTTATATATATTTTTTATAACCTGTCTTACTCATACAAACAAATAATTTTTTGCCAGAATGTGAAAACAATCGAGTTGAGTTGTCTATCGCTACTTGCCACTGAAAAAATAATTTTATAATTTAAAAATTAATTTAACCTTCTCCTTAAGTTGATCATCTAAGGTAAATTCAAAATTCGTGGAACGGAGTTCAATGCTAGCTCTCTTTTTCTCTGAATATGCTAACTCTTTTTTGTTACACTAAAATAAATTAAAAATAAATATAATTAATTTAATATTTACTATTGAGAGGCCATCAAATTTCCTTCGTGCCAATTCTCCCTCATATTTATTAATTAAATTGCAAAAGTAAGAATTTGTTTGTTTAACAGGGATTAATTCGTTGAAATTAAGATATTTTAATATACGAAGTTGAACTTCAATTGGGAGAGAAATCATTTTGATTGTCTAAAAAAGATACATACGTAGGTATTTATAAAAATTCAAGTTGTACTTTCAAAATTTATTAGAAACCTCAAAATTTTTTAAATTTACCTAGGCACCTTTTCCCTCCATTTTTTCAATCACCGATTTTTTCAATCACAATCTAATAGGATGGGATAAAATAAATTAAGTTTAAAAATCTGTGCCTTTTGAGAAAGTGGAAGGAACGAAATTCAAAATTACCAGATTAATTTTAAATGTGTTTAAAAATAATTTTAAATTAACTTACAAAAAATTATTAAAAAACTAAATAATTTTATCGGAAAAGTAAAAACCAAGATTATTTAAAAATTAAAAAAAATATAAATAAAAATATTTTTTGTAGTTTGAACAATAATTTTTTGATTAGAAATAAAATTTAAAGTAAAAATATTTAATTTTTGCGGTCTTTATTTACTAAATTGGCCATAAAGAGTTGGGGGAAACAATTTATTTCTTTTATTAATTTTATCCAATTCAACCAAAAATAGGCCAATCTGTCTTATGGAATTTGTCGAACAATATTAAAGATATAAAAGTTTTATAAATAATTCTACAAAAGAAATTATGTAACAGAATGATTTAGAAATTTCGGAGGGGAATGACTCATATAATGTTAAAAATAAAAATTTAAAAGTAAATAAATACTCCCCATTTATACTGTAATCGTTACTAGAGTTCGGACCCGGACAGAGTTTCCAGTCCGGAAATTATAATAAAATCCGTTTTTAGCGTTTATCCCCGAAAAATCCGACACGGAAAGAGGTGTTTAAAAATATAAATGAATTGAATTGTTTTAGCCTGCAAAAACGATGAACATAAATTTAATAAAAAAGTAATTTAATCAAAAAAGTAAATAAAAAACAATTTTATAAATTAGGTAATTTATTTGTCTCAAAAACTATTCTATCTTATATATATTCATCCTTCAGCTTCTACTTTCTTTATATAGATTTCAACATAAAAAAAGCCTCCAAATTCCCTTTCTACGTGGAAAAATGAATATCTGACGCTTGGATTGTAAATATTGGAAATTTCATAGTCGGCATATTTTAGTATACTAAAACCTATTTGTGAAATTTCAACTTTTTCTGCTCTCTCACTTAATTCAAAACTTGTGCGATTTGAATAATTAATCGAAATATGAGGCACCATTTTTGTATATTCTTCAGATGTTGCTATATACTAAAAATTTAAATTTTTATTTTTATCTTTTCTGAAATAACTTACTTCAGCAATTTGATCATAAAGCATTGGTACATTTATAGCACAATCTAAATTTTCTGGGAATTTAGCAAAATTCAAATAAACATTTTTAAATTTCTCTCCACTAATTAAAATTTTAAATAAAATATTTTTATAATTATTAATATCTGCTCTATCACTAAGAAAATTAATTTGAAGAGTTTCACTAATTAAATGATTCAAAGCAAAGTTGATTAAATTTACAATATTATTTTCAACAATAGCCATATAGCACGTTCGAATATATAACTGTTTGGGAATAGAAGCATCTCCAAATAATAATCCGATCAATCACAAATTCATCAATATAGCCATATTCAAAACAACAATTGAATACTTTATTTAAATAATAATTAACAATTTTTAAGTCGTCTTTGCTTTTAATTATTGTTGATAGTTGTTCTTGCCTTTGGTTTGTAATGCCGTAAACTGAAAAAATAATTTGAAGAAAATCTATTAACTTTTCGAATAGTCCATATAGAAATTGCCCGAACCGAAAGAGTTCTAGGGGTTTCTATAAGAAAAAGTTTACTGGTTTCTATCTATGAAAAGTTCCAGGGTACATACTATTTATTACACATTCAAACAACAATAAGTAGGCCTATGTCACTGCTTAGTTCCAAGAATTTATGTTGATTTCCGAGTTCCGACAGTTCCGATTTCTGGCACCTTTGTCATTTCCGATTCATCTCTACTGCTTACTAAACCGAGGATTCGTTGACTCCTGCACAATCGTCTCGCCACTTCAATAGGGTTACTACTGAAGTGGCGAGGGTTAATAAATGGATAGGGTTAATAAATGGGGTAAGTTTCAAAATTTTACTTGTTGAATACTGAGAAGCTCTTGAAAATTTATTAAATAAAATTTCACCTCTTTTAGATAAATGACTGACAATATTCTTCGAATTTTGATAAGGTAAATAGAAAGGAATGGGGTTTTTTAGTCCATTTTTCTTCAAAAAAGGACAGAAACCCTTTGCATAGTTTAATTTATTTATTTTCTCTTCAAGTTGTTCACTCAATGGAAAGTCAAAATTTTCGGATTTTGGTTTATTTAATCTGTGAAGATCTTTTTTGAATTGATTGATAGTGTGATCCTTTTAAAAAATATTTAAAAATTTAATTAATTAAGAAGCTTTATTACAAAATGAATTGTAAAAACTTTCTCTCGAGCAAGTTCTCCTTCATATTTGTCAATAAAATCACGAAAATATAAATTTGTTTGTTTGATTGAAAATAATTCTTTATAGCTGAGATATTTGAAAATATCAAGTTTTGTTTCCGTTGGTAAAGAATAAAACATTTTTTCAGAGAAAATTTAATATGTATCTTTGCGTGATCTTTGACAAAGCCCAGTTGAATATATGTAGATGGAAGAAAAGGAAATTGAAGGAAAAAATATATAAAAACATTTTCGTAGTTAACAATAATTTTTGTTAATAAGTTTAAAGTAAAAATATTTAATTTTTGCGCTACTTTTTAATAAATTAACTTTTATAGAGTATTTATCAAATATGTAGTATTGAAAAAATAAAAATTTTAATTCTACACAAAAATGATTAAAGAGAGGAAGTTGGTGTGTTATGAAATTATATTATAACATTTTCCAATTCCTTTAAATTTTTCGATTTCTCAACGTCAATGTTTTAATTTTCTGTAAAACTGCAAAAGATTGCTCATGACAGAAATAGTGGTTGATTTTAGTTAGATTACCTAATTCTATCGATTTAGGTAAATATCAAAGGCGAAAATGATATAAATTATTTTTAAATTAAATATCAATCTTCAAACAAATACAAACCCAAGAAAAATTCTTATTTTATGTATTTAATATTTGTGGGCGAAAAAAATTAAGAAATAAATTTAGTGGTTCTTAATAAAATTTTGAAATACAACTTGAATTTTCTAAATATTTACGTATCTTTTTAGATAATCAGAATGCTTTCTCTATCACTAGAAGTTCATCTTCGAATATTAAAATATCTTAATTTCAACGAATTAATCTCTGTTAAACAAACTAATTCTTACTTTTGCAATTTAATCACCAAGTATGAGGGAGAATTGGCACGAAGAAAATTTTATTACCTCTCACTAGTAAATAGTCATTAAATTAATTATATTTCGAATTTATTTTAGAAAAGTAAAGATGAATTATATTCAGATAAAATAATTAAACTTCGTTCCAAAGATTTAGAATTTACTTTAACTGATCAACTTAAGGAGAAGGTTTAACTAATTTTAAAATAAATTATACATTTATTTGGCTGTAATGTAGTGTACCGGTGGTAAAGTTAGGGACATTCCACTCACAGCTCGCCGAGCTCTTTCGAATGGCATTTGTCACGCCCCGAACTTTTACCACGGTTACATTCACTATATTCATTTAGTTTTTCAGTGGCAAGCAGCTATAGCTAAATCAACTCGATTGTTTTCACATTCTGGCAAAAAATTATTTGTTTGCATGGTTATGACAGGTTGTAAAAATATATATAATTGTAATGTAATAATTAATTTTGATCAATTTATACACAAATTAAACTATAATTTTTTAAGTCCCAAAAAATTTTTTTTATTTATTTCCATTTAGATGACGTACATTCCCCTTATTATATTTTAAAATTGCCAAACCTTCCAAAAAACTTTAAACAAATGATTACTATTCGTTACTGGTTAGAACAACTATTTAAATGTGACTTTGAACGTGCTTATTTTGACAACATTGTATTTAATCCAGAAATGATCAATATATTATTTGATAATGACAAAACAATTTCTCCTCAATTTAACATCCTAAATCCAACTCTATATACTCGAAACAAAACATTTGAAAATGTTTTGAAATTTTATTTAAATCATTTATCAAATTCTGAATATATTGAAATTAATTTGGATTCTGTTGACATTACAGAAAAACGGACAGAAATTTTATTCAATATTTTAAAAAATGAGGGAAATAAATTAAAAAGAATTTGTGTTAGCAGTTACGAGTTAACAAACCTCTATGATCTTATTTTAGAAGTAAGTCGTTTACAAATACAAATCAAGTCGTTTAAGTCGTTTACAAATACAAATCAACTTTGCTTTGAATCATTTAATTAGTGAAACTCTTCAAATTAATTTTCTTAGTGATAGAGCAGATATTAATAATTATAAAAATATTTTATTTAAAATTTTAATTAGTGGAGAGAAATTTAAAAATGTTTATTTGAATTTTGCTAAATTCCCAGAAAATTTAGATTGTGCTATAAATGTACCAATGCTTTATGATCAAATTGCTGAAGTAAGTTATTTCAGAAAAGATAAAAATAAAAATTTAAATTTTTAGTATATAGCAACATCTGAAGAATATACAAAAATGGTGCCTCATATTTCGATTAATTATTCAAATCGCACAAGTTTTGAATTAAGTGAGAGAGCAGAAAAAGTTGAAATTTCACAAATAGGTTTTAGTATACTAAAATATGCCGACTATGAAATTTCCAATATTTACAATCCAAGCGTCAGATATTCATTTTTCCACGTAGAAAGGGAATTTGGAGGCTTTTTTTATGTTGAAATCTATATAAAGAAAGTAGAAGCTGAAGGATGAATATATATAAGATAGAATAGTTTTTGAGACAAATAAATTACCTAATTTATAAAATTGTTTTTTATTTACTTTTTTGATTAAATTACTTTTTTATTAAATTTATGTTCATCGTTTTTGCAGGCTAAAACAATTCAATTCATTTATATTTTTAAACACCTCTTTCCGTGTCGGATTTTTCGGGGATAAACGCTAAAAACGGATTTTATTATAATTTCCGGACTGGAAACTCTGTCCGGGTCCGAACTCTAGTAACGATTACAGTATAAATGGGGAGTATTTATTTACTTTTAAATTTTTATTTTTAACATTATATGAGTCATTCCCCTCCGAAATTTCTAAATCATTCTGTTACATAATTTCTTTTGTAGAATTATTTATAAAACTTTTATATCTTTAATATTGTTCGACAAATTCCATAAGACAGATTGGCCTATTTTTGGTTGAATTGGATAAAATTAATAAAAGAAATAAATTGTTTCCCCCAACTCTTTATGGCCAATTTAGTAAATAAAGACCGCAAAAATTAAATATTTTTACTTTAAATTTTATTTCTAATCAAAAAATTATTGTTCAAACTACAAAAAATATTTTTATTTATATTTTTTTTAATTTTTAAATAATCTTGGTTTTTACTTTTCCGATAAAATTATTTAGTTTTTTAATAATTTTTTGTAAGTTAATTTAAAATTATTTTTAAACACATTTAAAATTAATCTGGTAATTTTGAATTTCGTTCCTTCCACTTTCTCAAAAGGCACAGATTTTTAAACTTAATTTATTTTATCCCATCCTATTAGATTGTGATTGAAAAAATCGGTGATTGAAAAAATGGAGGGAAAAGGTGCCTAGGTAAATTTAAAAAATTTTGAGGTTTCTAATAAATTTTGAAAGTACAACTTGAATTTTTATAAATACCTACGTATGTATCTTTTTTAGACAATCAAAATGATTTCTCTCCCAATTGAAGTTCAACTTCGTATATTAAAATATCTTAATTTCAACGAATTAATCTCTGTTAAACAAACTAATTCTTACTTTTGCAATTTAATCACCAAGTATGAGGGAGAATTGGCACGAAGAAAATTTTATTACCTCTCACTAGTAAATAGTCATTAAATTAATTATATTTCGAATTTATTTTAGAAAAGTAAAGATGAATTATATTCAGATAAAATAATTAAACTTCGTTCCAAAGATTTAGAATTTACTTTAACTGATCAACTTAAGGAGAAGGTTTAACTAATTTTAAAATAAATTATACATTTATTTGGCTGTAATGTAGTGTACCGGTGGTAAAGTTAGGGACATTCCACTCACAGCTCGCCGAGCTCTTTCGAATGGCATTTGTCACGCCCCGAACTTTTACCACGGTTACATTCACTATATTCATTTAGTTTTTCAGTGGCAAGCAGCTATAGCTAAATCAACTCGATTGTTTTCACATTCTGGCAAAAAATTATTTGTTTGCATGGTTATGACAGGTTGTAAAAATATATATAATTGTAATGTAATAATTAATTTTGATCAATTTATACACAAATTAAACTATAATTTTTTAAGTCCCAAAAAATTTTTTTTATTTATTTCCATTTAGATGACGTACATTCCCCTTATTATATTTTAAAATTGCCAAACCTTCCAAAAAACTTTAAACAAATGATTACTATTCGTTACTGGTTAGAACAACTATTTAAATGTGACTTTGAACGTGCTTATTTTGACAACATTGTATTTAATCCAGAAATGATCAATATATTATTTGATAATGACAAAACAATTTCTCCTCAATTTAACATCCTAAATCCAACTCTATATACTCGAAACAAAACATTTGAAAATGTTTTGAAATTTTATTTAAATCATTTATCAAATTCTGAATATATTGAAATTAATTTGGATTCTGTTGACATTACAGAAAAACGGACAGAAATTTTATTCAATATTTTAAAAAATGAGGGAAATAAATTAAAAAGAATTTGTGTTAGCAGTTACGAGTTAACAAACCTCTATGATCTTATTTTAGAAGTAAGTCGTTTACAAATACAAAGTTAATAAATAATAAATTTTAGTACATAATAACATCGAGAAACTGTCTTAAAATTGTACCTGTTATTGAGTTTAGATTTTGTGTTCGCCCTGATTTTAAATTAAGTGAAAGAGCAGAAAACGTTGAAATTAATGATTCAGATTATCCATATGAAATATATACAAGATATCAAATTGCCAATATTCACAATCCAAATGTGAGATTTTCATTTCTTAAAGAAGATATGCCTGTTACGGCACTTTATTTCATTTATATACGGAAAATGGAAGAGTAGAATTTGAGAAAACTAATTTGTTGATTTACCTGTATAAAGAAATATTTTTAAAAATTGTTGTTTTTTAAGATAAAATTGTTTTTGTAAAATTTGTTTGTATCATATTTAACAGGTTAAATCTAACAGGTCTATTTTTAAATATACTCAAAGGTTTTTGAAGATAAAATTATTTTAATTTATTCTAAACTTTTCCCCATTTTTCGACTTGAATACATACTGCCATCTTCTACAACTACCAACAATTGTTAAAAACAAAAATCAAATGAAAATTGTTTGTTTCTATTTTAAATTCATTTTAACAAACATGGTTGGATTATTATAAACCAGTATCATAGTTTACATGGGATGAAAAGTCTAATAGAATCCGAGCATTAAAATTAAAATAGGTAATAAAATCTAAATTGAAAATAGAAAATGAATTTCTTATTACTTCATGATTTCATCGACATTGAGAAGGTCTTGTGTCCTTATAGTTTGCTTAAGTATTCTGACAATTAAACAAAATTATTTAAAAACAAAAGGACAAATGAAAAAATTCCGTCATAAGTCCTGAAAATTGACTCAGGCAACCAAAAAGTCATTCGAAAGAACTCGTCGAAATAAATTGAATGACATCAAAATTACCTTGATTGAAAAGTTACGATACGAAAAATAGATTTTTATGACTCCTTGTAGATTTTTTTCTTAAATTTTTTTGTAATTATAATTATTTTTTTAAAATAAAGAAGGGTCCTTTTTGATGCCTTTTGGTGTTAAAGATCCTTCTTTCTTCATAAAATGACTAAACCCGATTAGAAAATCAAAGCTTTATTTAATTTTAATAAATATTTAAAAGCGGGGATGTTTAAAGGAAATATTTAAAACAAAGGTCTGCCTGCATATAAAAATAAATAAATGTTTATTATTAATTTGGATAAATTAATTTTTATTTTTTTAAATAAATATTGTTTCTTTATTAGCAAGAAATTAAATGTAAATGGATTTAATTTTTAGCAAAGATTTTAAAAATTTAGCAGAATTCTTTAATTAATTTATTTTTAAATTTTTGTGTTGCAAAAATAAATTAATAAATTTTATTTCCTCTTTAAGAAATTATTTTTAGAATTAATTATTGCCAGTTATACACTGCGTTCCAAAATGATACGCACCCCTAGTTTTTTCCTGTTATATGAATTTTCCTATGTTATTTTAATCAGATATTTTATCTATTGATTCTACATGATAAATGAAATGTTTAAACAAGAAAATAAAAATATCCGTAAATTATTTACATTTTTATGCCAATTTACTTAAAATTTTAGTGTTCCAAAATTATACGCACCCCCCTAATAAAATTTTTGTTTTACAATATAAAAATCCACAAAAATTTTTCTGAACATATCTATCAATATAGATAAGAAATAAAAAATATGAAGTTCAGATGTACTTCCATCATCGAGATCTCGTGATCCGAAAATCAACATAAAACGGGGGTATAGGTCTTTAAAAAATATTTTCGACCCCTTACAGGTAAGATAAAAATTTCATTTTGGGCTTATTTGAAAGCCCTTGAAATTTGCTTAAAATAAAATATCATTTATTTATATCCCATAATTATAAAATAATTAAAATTTTCGTAATTAAAAGAAACACAAAAATAAATTTATAATTTATTTTAACTTTATTAATTTGTGCCTCTGATTTAATTAAAATTTTAGTAGTAGGAATAATTGTTATTTTTGTACTTGTTGTTGAACTTGTTATTATTGCTTGTTTACTAGTTGTTATTGTTGTTGTTGTTAAATGTAAAAGGACTTCTTCGTTACAAAAATTATTATTACATTTAACACATTTTTGATATTTTGAAGGGCATTCTCCACAGTTTTGTTCAACTTTATTTTAATTTTTATAAAAAATATTTTACTAAAAATAACCTCTCCAAAAAACATCCCTAGCAATATAACAACTGTCATAAACTTGGTGACAAGTTTTATTTATTTTTAAATTTTGTTGGAATTTCGAATTGGAATGGTAACATTTTATAGGGGAAGGAAGTATTGTTTCTAAATTACATAAAGAGGAGGAACATTCACTACATTTTGCTAGATTCTGATGACTTTTACATTTACCACAGCCTTGAACAAGACCTTTAAATAAATACATTATACGAGCGTTTGTGATTTTTTGAAGGTAAAGTTTAATGACTTCCAAATCTAAAAATTTTCCAAGACCTAAGACCAAGTCTTGGAAGTCTCTAGTAAAGTTTGCTATATAAAGTCGAGGGGTTGGTATGTGAAAATCTAGTGGTAGGGCTGGAACTTTCGAGGATGGTGTAGTGAGAGGAATATATTGTGACCTTTACAAATGACAAAAATGTCTGTTATATCAAGATTATATTTCAAGATTATTTCAAAATAAATATTAAATATTTACCCATTTTATTTTTATCAACCCCAATAAAGCAAACACCAACTTTACAAACCCTCGTTCCCTTATTTTTTATCCAATTTAAAGCACTCTTCTCCCAACAAAATATTTGACTTTCAAAGAAAGTATCAGTATTACAAAATGAATTTTTATGGCATTGGGCACATTGTATATTGCTTAAATTTGTTTTATTTTTTGGGCACTTTCCACATCCTTGTTCTACTAAAAAATTTAAAATTTTATTCAAAATATTTTCATTTTATTTACATTTTC